CCCCAAAACCCCAAAACCCCAAAACCCCAAAACCCCATTCTTTATCTTCCTATTGAAACTTAAAACCTTATCATTGTCCAATTACCATCTCCATCACCCAAAATTCTTACTTCTCATCATCAAAGGCAAGGAAAGTCTCTAAACCAGCCCACTTTTTCTTAAAACATGAGCCAAGCTTACCATAATCATCCTCTGGAAGATAGCAGTTCTTCAGAGTCAGCGACACAAGGCCTCTTTTCTTGTACATAGGGTTGAGTAGAGAGATTGTACTGATTTTGTGAAGGATTTTGTTGATTTTATTGGTCAGTGAGAGTTGGTCTAGGAGGATGGTTTCTGCGCAGGATGCAGCAACATGGTGTTTAAAGTAGTTGGGGTCAATACTCTGTCCATCTTTCAAAGAGTAATAAGCTGATTCTGGTGTAAATCACCCAATGAAAGACAGACTATATAAAGGTCTCTTTTTAGTTGGATGAGGAGATGGCTGCTCAATCTTATTTTCTTTTTGTAAACTAGGTAGCTTTATCTTCAGGTATTTGTTGATATAATCTTTGGGAGGGGTTTGCCCTTCTTGAGCATCATTATTCATAATTGAAATTCCTCTTTCTGTATCATGTTGTTTTTCTTCTTCTCTTTTACTTTCTCTTGACTCATCTAATGTTTCTTCATCAATTTTTTGAAAGCCAGCTGATCCAATTCAAGATGGAAGAACTAGGTTAACTGTTAACTCCTGTTCTGTTTGTTGCCCTTTTAGAAATCAACAGTTATTTGAATACTAATCTTTCAAATGGAGAGCAAATAACAGTACCCAGAATCTGATCTAATTCTTCATCTTTAAAATAAAAGTTCTGCAATATAATTGTATCAACCTTCGGGAGATCTCACATCTTAATGAGGTCGATGAAGTGTTGGACTTTAGTTTGCTCGAGAAACTCTTTGCTCTCTTGCTGCAGCTGTGGGTCTAAGGCAAATCACACTTCTTCTCAACTTTCATCAATCAAATCTGCTAAACTTCTAAATCAGAGTCAGAGAATACCTTAATGTATTGCTTACCGATTTACTGGATTTTTTATTGCATTATCAAAAAACTTTTCTCTTATTTTGTCAACGTCATCGTTCTTATCAACCAAAAGGAAGGTCATTCCCATCCTTGATTCTTTAGGATCCCAGTTGAACCTTATCTTATAAGAGGCTTCAGTTATATATTCTTCACCTGCTCTTTCATCCTCTGAAAGATCTTATCTTCTTTGAAACCATCTACATTCCTCTTAACTTCCTGGTCGATCTTTTTCAAAATTGCATTATCGATCATATTTTCATTCTTAGCATTCTCTTTCTCAAATGCTTTCTTCAGCATTTTTATCTCTTCTCCATGCTCCAAGTCGAAATCCTCTAACTTTTTCTCTTCTGTTCTTCCTACTTTAATCACCCCAAAACTCAATTTTCTTATCAAGTTAACACCAACATTGTCTCTTTCTCTCACAACTAAATTCGAAGGTTAAAGGTTGGAGGAAATAAGGGATTACGCTTTTCATATTTATTGCGAGCATCATTTGTTCTATCACATTGGTCTTCAATATTTTTGAGTTCTAAAACTGTTTTTTTTATATCTTATCAATATCTATATAATTTTCACATATTTCTTTAATAAACTCAGGATCGTTAGAAACCTTCTCAACATCCACCGAATCTCTTATTTGCTCAATATGAAAATCTATATAATACTCCCACATCTCTGCCTTATTCCTCTTTCTTCTCTTCCCTTCATAATTTTCCATTTATAATTAATTACAATTTTAAAGTCCATAATCGGGGTTTTGGGGTTTTGGGGTTTTGGGGTTTTGGGGTTTTGGGG